CCCCAAAGAGAACAGAAACACGCAGCTCAACTTTTTTGGTAGCTCAGCACTCCCAAGATTTGGACACCTAAGAACTGCAAACTCCCCCCTACTTTAAGCTAAATCCTACAATACTTGGAAAATACAAATTACTTACCAGTGACCGGTAGCAGAAACTGGCCTGGGATACTTTTTTCTCCAGTCTGCATCTCAGAAGAACCAGTGTGTATCCAACACTGGAGTCTTCACCCTTAGGCCAAAAGGAAAACACCAACACACAAGTGTTCAGCATCAGGCAAACGCTCTCAAGTGCTGTATGGCTTAAGCACCTCCTAGTAATTCACTGTAATCTTCATCTAATGAACAAAGCAACATTTCCTGTGGCACAAACTACACACTGTATTATAACCAGGGAAAAAGCAGAAGAGGGATTGGGTTATTGGAAGGAACTGCAAAGCCATTCCACTAAGGTATTTTTCCTCCATATATTTGAAGTTCAAAAAAAATTACTAACAGCAGGGGAAAGAAAAGGTACTCATTTTAAATTCCTTCACCCTTGATGCATCTCAGAATTTGTACTTGCAGAAAGAGGATAAGCATCCACAGCAGGGAGGGCTTTAACACAACCCATTCTTCTGGAGTGCAAAGCACTCACCTTCAAACTCTTTTCTCCAGCAGATTCAAGAGCGCAATGTGGTGTGGGAGGAACCTGAAGTCAGGAGACAAAGCCACAGCTCTGGGGGCCAGTCAGTGCCCTGGGATTTGCTGTTCACTTGGCCTTACCTCTGGATCATGATCACAACAGGCTTCTCAGCTGGTACCCAGCAGAGCACCAGTAACACCCAGATGTGGGAATGAAAACTGGTATTCCTTCTACATCCCACCCGGTGCCCCACAGCTATCTCTAAGAGCAGATGCCCCAACACCACTATTTTTCTGCTGATCAACGATGTCAGTAAAATCTCACTGAAGTCTGCAATATGCTCTAAAGGGATAAAAAATTCCCCCCCATTTCTCTGCAGGCTCAGGAAGTAGCAATATTACTTCAGAGATCAATTGGGCATAACTTTAAAAGTAAAACCACTATCTGACACAAGGATCTGAAACACCAGACTTTTTCCTGTTAGCTTAATCTTTCAGCCATTCTTCATGTAAAGACTGTTTTGCCACAGAAACCAAACAACTGTCTGTGCTGCGCAGATCGTAGGATCTCAGTAACGCTCCCAAGGGATGAATTCCTAACAAGAAACTAGCTGTCATCAGCAAACAGGACACCAGACTTAGCTCTCCATAACTCTCAAATCCTTCCTGATGAAAGTATTTACTTCTCATAATTCATTATGCACAAAAAGAGAGGCCAAAGCACCAAGAGGTAATCAACAGCTTAAAATAAAATGAGCTATGGCCGACTGAAAAGTAGGCTTTGAATGAGCACAGCTCCATTTCATTTACCGCTTTCTGCCAGGCAAAGTTTCTGATTATTGACTGGTGCAGAGGAAGCAGTTACCCTTCAGGGATCACACCAGACTCTTAATATACTTTCAGGTTTGCAGGCTGGCTGTGCCCTGCTGCAGGCATGAGCAGCTGCAGCTGTTCTGACCTCTTCTAGGCATAAATTGCTGTAATCACTCCATGAAATTTGAAGAAATCTGGGGATTTTTGTCTTTACACTCTAATGTTGCAGTTGCTTCCCGAGGACAAGGCTGACATTAGGTTGCTGCTCTTACTCTTCCACATCACCTAAGGTTTTCAACATTTGACATGTAACCTGAAGTGAAAATGTGTAAGTTAGAGTTACAGAAGCTTTCTTACCTGAACCCGTGCAATTATTTTTTTAACAAATTACAGTAGGAAATAAATATAACAAGAGAAACTATGCTTGAGGTTGTTGTTCTTCCGTCTTATCTGCTGCTATTAAAAGCCATTAATTCTAACAGCAATAAGAAACATGGGGGATAGATAGGGATCAGTTCTGCATAAGTTAACAGACATCAGAGTATTGCACTACCAAATATATCTGGTTTTACTTATCCCTCAGTATTTTTTCCCCTCTACTAGCCTAATCACTTTTCACTTGCGGCAATTACTGTGCCAGAACCCCTACTAGACAGCTGTTCCGATTCATATGTGGATTAAAAAATATGAGCAGTTTCATTGCTTTTCTTCAAATATCTCCTGGTTCTCCAAACTCCGTTCCAAAAAATATTCCAAAGGGTCAGTTAAATTTTTACTGAAACTTATTTTTTGGAGTATTAGTTTATTATTTTGGAAAGACATAAAAGATTATCTCCTCAATGCTTAAGAGGATCAAGTGTCAAAACAACTAGCATCTCAGTCAAATTGGAAAGTAATCCTTTTTCAGTAAACAAGTATTTTATCAAGACTTGGACATGATCTATGCAAACTAAGCAACAGCAAGACATTTAAATCTTTGTGAGAACTGAGAATTAAAATAGGTGGGACCAGATGCATAGTTTTTTTCCAGGCTATACATTAAAAACTGATTTGCATTATAGCAAGTACATATACCAAAACTAAGCAGGCATTTAGACATCAGTGGCACCAGCATAAGATTAATACCAACCACAGCAAGCCTTATTCTCTCATTGAATCACTTCTATCTATCTCTAATGCATCCATGTCTACAGTATCTATTACTCTGTAAGAGCAATGCTTGGCTAAAAGGGACACTCTTCCTATCCGCCATTAGAAATGGTTACTTGGCCATCACACATCCACTCCAAGCAGTCCTCTATTGCATTGAAAATAGTTCTGGTTCAGGAACATCTCCCAGAATTAGGGATAACAAATTAAAGTTTTCCGCCCCAGTCATTTCCATGTATTGATCCTTGGCACATACTAAGAATCAAGTGGGAAGAGATAGCTGTAATATAGGTAGACTCTATGCATAGATTAGAGAAGTCTTACCCTTTTTCTATGTTACTAAGGTATGTAAATTAACAGATTTGAATATAAATTGAATGCTGCTAAATCATACTTAGGTCCAAACTGATCTTACTACCTTATTAGTCTCATTTGTGCTCTAAACAACATAGCCCTACACCATGAGTTCTGATGCTTTGTATGAGACTTAATTTGATCAAAGCTTTGACTTCTAAGAGAAGCCAGGAAAAAGCACAAAGCCCAATTTGCCAAGAACAAAATGCTGGTATTTAGCCAGAAACCTGCCTAACTTTAAAAAGCATTACGTTTCAGTGCTTCAGAATGTGTCTGGCTATCCAACTTAACATGTCCCTATTCCAGTTCCTAATATATTCTTCTCAGACCACTGCAATCACTGACCTGTTACCAACATCAGTGCTGCAGGCGCATTAGACAGCCATCTGTCAATAGTCTTGTATCTTCTACTTTGAACTCCAGACTTTGGGGCTCGGGATTTTTTAGTTATGTTTTTTCTCCCTAGGATAGCCTTGGAAACATGCACATCCTGCTAACTACTCAGATCCAGGGGAAGAACAGTCACACACCATCACCTTCAGTGCAATTAAGAGCAAAGGAGCAAAGACCAGCAAGTCAGTTAATTTTATACCAAGGCAGCATCTCTCAAAGAAGCACCATATATATTATACTTAAGAGGAAGGACTTCAGCAGAACCAAGCAAACCCCAGCATTCTTTCCTTTCAAGGAAATGCTTTAAGTTCTGTAAAGTTTATTTTCCATATCAACTACACTTGAAGAAGATAAGGCAGACATGCAGGACAGTCCTTGTTAGTTAAGTGCTAGATTAGATGATGGAATAAACTCCTTTTTGTACATCAAGGCAGTAGCTAATTTCAGTCTATCCCATTGTTATTTAATCTCCCTGCAGATCATTTGCAGTAACTCTAATCTGAGACCATAGGGAACTCCTTCACAGACCACATGCCCTTACCAAAGTTCTATTAAGCATACTCATTCCCATTGCTCCATGTTTAGTGTGGAATAACAATGTTGTAGCACATACTTTGTTTTCACCACTGTTATGTATTAAAACCAAAACTTAACTGCACAATGCAGAAGCTAAGAATACTGCTCCAGCCTGAATTAGCTGAATTTACCCTGAAGCATCATCCATTTAGTGCAGTCAATCTGAAAGTCAGAGCTAAGCACAATAATTTCACTAGGTATCTACCAACCACATAACCAAGCAGCTTTTCCTCAGAAAGTCTGCAATTCAGAAGGAAACTAACACATAGCTTTGCCCATCAGAGCACTGAAGCCAGTACAACACTGAATCCAACCAGCTCTTTATTGCTATTATATGAAATACTGTTCCCAGATATTAAAGAAAAAACAGTTAAGTCCAGAAGCTAGCTGCATGTTAATTTTTCAGTACCCAGAATATCCAGCTTAAGTTCTTCACCTTCCATATTAAGTTTCTTCCTGTTCTTCGATAGATTTCAAAACCAATAGTTTGATTCCCAGCGCCATTTAAGTTACATACCCAGAAAGAAGCACAAGTCACAAAAGATTGCAGGAGTCTGAAGATTTACACTTGCATTTCACCATTGTCGAGTATTACAAGACAGTTCTTTATTTTAAACATTAAAGTGCCAGGTTTATGTACAAACTATTAAAACAATAGTAAAAAAAGTAAACTTAAAACCTGCAAAGAAAGCAGTGAAGTCATGTAGTTGCCTCCAGTTTTCTGCAGAGTATTCAGCAAATTTAGGACTAGAATTTCTCAGCTGCTCCTTTGTTTATGGGGAGAACAGCAGAAGCTAGCAGTCACCACCCATAACCTCCCATCTTGCAGAAGGAAGGTGCCTGTATCTTTCACAAAATGGAGCAGCATACATTGTAAGAGATACATCTAAACATTCTATGAATTAACACCATTGGCAAAGTCTAATAAAAAAGGATTTTACTGCTAGAGCTACAGTAGCCTCCTGAAAAGTACCAATATCACCACACTTTTCAAGAGTGGGATTTTAGTACAGGAATCAAGTCACACTGTGACTCAATATAGTTTCCCTGTAAACAGGGGAGCATACACACTAACTCATATGGTCTCAGTTCATTTAAAATTCCGCATCCAGGGTGAAAGAGTTGTCTGTGGCCTTTGACATGACTCCCATCCTCTGATATTCACCTACTCGCTTCTCAAAGAAATTGGTCTTGCCTTCCAGAGAGATGTTTTCCATGAAGTCAAAAGGATTCTCCGCTTTGTATATCTGAAATGCAAAGGCAATTCTATAGTCACTACAGGTGCTCACATCTTGAATACATGAGAGCATTAGAGATCAGCTGGAAGGAGTCTAATAACATCAGCGGGCTTACTATTTAGTGAGCAAAATTCTCTGCCCCAAGCCTTCTCTACTGTATTTGTTCCTGTCTTTTAGCTGCAGTAGACAGAAGCACAGCAACTCAGTGTTTTTTCATAGCATCCTTTTGCTTTTCTTTCTGTGGGTCGTCAAACAGGATCTAGCAGCAGGACTGCTAAATGGTTTTACAAGTTACACCAATATTGCTGCAGCCATTTTAGGATTTGCATTTCTGGAGGAAATTAAACTTAATATTGTCTTTTCCCCATGAAAGATTCAGTGTATTAGAGCCTTACCTTGTTAAATCCCAGTTCCAACATAAGCCGGTCTGCTACAAACTCTATGTACTGTTTCATTAAAGTGCAGTTCATGCCAATTAGCTTTACAGGCAGTGCCTCCGTCAAGAATTCCTGCAGACAATAGAAGCACTTAATGTACAGAAACTGGTATTCACTCTGTACCGTCTAGGTTAATTTTATACCCAACAGCTCCCCAGCTTTCTGCGCTTAATTGCGATCAAGTTCCTAAACAAGGAGCAGACAATTACCTGTTCTATGAGAACAGCATTCATGATGATTTCCTTTACTCTCTGCTCTGATGGTTTGCGTATCAAGTGCTTGAACATGAGGCAGGCAAAATCACAGTGCAAGCCCTGGAAAGAAGTTTCAGAAAATTATTTCAGGAACACTGATTTAAGAGAGCCATGCAAAATCAGTAGCACAGAATAAATAGCCCAATATCTAGGCACCATCTTTGCACTTGTCACATTATTTAGTGTTACCTACAGACAACTTTCTGCCTCACCAGGAGGCATAAGCGAGTTCAGCCAGGACCAGCTGTGCTTGCTCCAAATGGCAAGGTATACTGAGTGCAAGGGTTGGCGAGAACCCTTAAACCATTTTAGAGGAAGTAAAATGCTAAGTTCATTCATTCTCTGCTGCAAGATCCACAATGACATGTTTACACACTTTATGAGCTTTAGACTGCCTGTTTCTGATCATACTCCTATTTTAAAATACAGGCTCCAACTGAATATCATTACTTTGAGCTACCGTGGGACATTACCATCTTAACTGCTAGAATTTGATTCATACCTCATCTCTACTGATGAGCTCGTTAGAAAAAGTGAGTCCAGGCATTAATCCTCTTTTCTTCAGCCAAAAAATTGATGCAAAAGAGCCAGAAAAGAAGATTCCTTCCACTGCTGCAAAAGCTACTACACGTTCTCCTGTTAAGAAAAGATTGATAGTAATATCACACAGAAAACTTCACAGGATTAATACCCAGAAGTTGTGAATAGACCAGTGAACTGCATCCTCCAAGGGGAATGAAGAAGTTTCTGCTCAAGTGTGCTACAGCCTGCCCCTAAAAACTATTACAGTAAGGGCTTCTGATCATTAAGCAAAACTTAAACATGAGAGGAAGTAAAAACTAATTAGAGCAGCTACTAAGTAGCTGAAGCCAAGGCTCCTTACCCCAGGTTAGCCATCAATACTATCCTTTTTTCAAAGGTTGCACACTGAAAAAGAGCAGTCATTTTAGCAGCTGATTTAAGTCAGTGCCTGCTCATCTTTAATTAAGGAACTTTGGCCATGAAGAATGCTTTAATACTAGTGAAATAATGATCCGTACCATCTCATCTCACCTTTGAAGAGAGACATCAAGAATCAGTAAGGCAGAGGAGCTACAGCCTCCAATTGTACATGTCTGCTGGAGATAAGTGGCCAGTAGTTCTAGACACATGACAGCAATTTACAATTTGATCATATAGCCAGGCATATGAAGATTGTCACATGAGCTACCATTATTCAAAATGCCAGCAATTTTACAAAGATTCATGTCAGTAGCTCATTTGCAACATGAAAATTTTTTTCATTTCCAGAATTATACTAGTATCTTATACCAGAGAGCATATACTCTCCTTGTGACAACAATCTCTGAACTGTGGAGTCTGGAGAAATGGTGGTTCCTCCATCTTTTTTAGGGAAGGAATTTCACTTTCCTTCCAATAGATGTACTCACCATATGTTGCTTTCTTGTCCCCAATCCAGCGCATGGCCCAGTCAGCTTTCTTTTTAACACATGGTAACGTTTCAATAGCATTAAAAAGAAATTCCCTAAAAAGAATAAAACTCATTAGGATTGGACACCAGCACAACTAGTACAATAAGCATTCACTAGCATAGATGGTCTTGTTCACCTACAAGTGCTCTGCACCTTCACCCTCATAATTAAGTCTCCTTTCCCATCTTAATTTGCACAAAAATCTAGCTCTATTTGTACCCATCAACTGCCTTTTCATCACCTACCCATCACATCAACACCAGTTCACATGAATTCCCATGACAATATCAAGGGGAGTACTGTTTCATCAGGTACTGTACTTGAACAAGGCTTTCAAAACTACAAATCAACCAGCCTCCATTTTCTAGTGCCAAGGCACCAGAGCTTTCATGTAAGCAGTTCCTCCTTAAACATTTACTGGAATTAAGCATCTCAGTAGAAGTGACATTGTCAGCTTTCGACGAAGTAGTAGCGATTATATATATCTAGACTGCAAATAGCATTGCGATACCACATGACATTTCACTCAACAGGGCGTTGGTCTGACAAGGTAACACCACAATAACTCAGTCCAGACTGCTCAAAGCCCTGCGTTTAGTTTTAAGATACCATTCTTGAATTGATTCATCTTATTATGAAAGTTTTATGCTTTGTTTTACTTTTAATCAAGACCAAAAGCCACTTTTTGGCAAACACGACATGCTTCCCCCCCCCCCCCCAAGCAAAATAGTCAAGTGAGTAAGGGCAGCAAATGCTATGTAAAAGTGCTAGCTGTTAACTAAATGCACTGGGGTTTAGAGATGACATTTTAATAAAACTGATATTCTCAGAGAAGCTTTCCTACATAGCTTTCTACTAGGTGCAGGAGTCCTCCATATGAGTGCTTACTGTAATTTAATATACTCCCCTTATTTGACTGCTCCATCTTTTACATAGTTTCATTCCTTCATTTCAGTATTAAGTGGTTTCGGTTCCACTCTTAATCTAAGCGAGGTCTTGCTCATACACTTCAGAGAAAGATATTCTAAAGTAAAGCTGCTCTTAAGCAACAGTGTTATTTTATATAAATCTAGTTTAAATCCTAAAATTAGCCTTAAAGTCAGAGAGTGACTGATATGATTCATTTAAATCTCAACACTTAAAGAGTTTTGAGCCTTTCATCATCAAGCAATACGAACCTCTCTTTAGAATCTTTAATGTAGGTGTCAATAAGAAGACTGTACATTTCTGAATGTATATTTTCCATGGCAATCTGGAAGCCATAGAAACAACGAGCTTCTGTGATTTGTACTT